CGACCTCCATCGCACCCAAACCCCATCCCACCCCCCAGCGAGAGCTCGGCAGCCAAGTGCAAGAACAATGCCGACCATCAGATGGAGACAGAAGAAAACGGGAACACGAGGTGAAGTAGAGACAAAAGTCTGTTTGTGACGGCACCGTGCATGTGCTTAAACAATTTCCTTATGATGGAAATCAAGCCAAGATGTGCCATACTCTATATATATTCACATGTACAATGCAGGTTTTATGTGATGATACTGAAACTTGAGGAGAATCTCAAGGCAGATATAAAGCTCTTTGGAAAAGTTTTTAAGGTCTTAACCTACAACTGGTTCACAGTGAGGACTAATTCACAACCGGAGAGCATCCTTGTAGATTAATCGTAGCAGCTGGACTTGCTTGAGTTCCTTGAAGACGTTTCCCCTCTCATCCAAGAGGCTTCATCAGTTCTGAATTGAGCTGAAATGAACTGATGGAGCCTCTTGGATGAGAGGTACTCAAGCAAGTCCAGTCACTACGATTAATCTACGAGAATAACCATGACCTGGATGACTGAGAATCTTCACAGACAACTGGAGAGCATAGAGAGAAACATGACAGAACTTATTTGGTAGTTGAGTAGATTCTAATGCATTTTAATCTAATGTTAAATAAATGTTGTCGGGGAACAAGTATGTTTATTCTGAAATAAAGTGGAGAGAGAGGATAAAGCAGTAGGAGCTAAAGTATCTCAAAATTTGCACCCACTCCAATATTTGGACGACCCAAAATAAAAAGAACAGCACAGTGAACATATGACACAGCATAAGTCAAACATCAGCTCTCATCACACAAGACAAGAACATTGCAATGTAATGTCACAGTGTCTTTTTTTTAGGCAGCAGCATCATATGTAAGATAAAATAATTGTCAAGTCACATTTCAGTGGCCTTTGATCTTTTGATCTTCGCTCTGCTGCGAAGAATCATTTGAACCTTCCGGGTTTTCCAACTGCTACATTGTGGTTTGTGTGTTTCCGTGCCAAAGCCACCAAAACGGATGACATCTCCCAAACACCCAAACAGAGCTCTGCGCTGCCTCTGCCACCCTGGCCGCCATTCAGTCATTGCGCACAGATGGCACGCAGAAGAGCCGGAAAAGCCAAGTGAAGGCCGCCATGTGTGGAGCCGTCTTTAATCATGATCTGTTGACAGAGAATATCCATTACAAAACACAAGATGAAAACGCTCATTTTGTTACTCCCTGATCTGATACGGAGGGGCTGAGGCTGCGACACACCAGCTGTGTGGCGTCAAAGCTCCTCTGCTCACGTATGTATCCATTCAGCACAATTGCTTTCTCATCCCCACCCAGACCTTTAAAAGTCCCAGTCTATCACTTCTTTGTTTCATTACCAGGAGCGAATAGCGTATTATCCCCACGTCATCTTCAGAAACGTTTCCAAGTCTAATCACGTGTGGTACTGGTACAGATGATGAGGAACACATGTTTGGCGGTGGCCAACGTGAATGTGTCTAACTTGGGATAACCCATGCTTGTTCAGCTTTGACCTTTTCCTGTCCAATGTTATGGGGAGGTTTATATAAGAGACTCTCAAGGGTCCTGACAGTCACTCTTTGGATGCTTCACACCATCCTGCCCTTCGATGCCTTCGGTGGACGGCACCCAAAGAGCTGCTATATGTTAACAAGAATCCTACCTCCTGGCCAAAGGTTCGGAGCTCAATCTGCAGAGAACCAGCTGTGAATGTGCTCATGGCCCTGAGACTTGGCTCTGACACAGCAGTCCCATGTAGGAGTCTCTGGGCGGGACTCCAAATCCTCTCAGAACTCCCCAAAGTACATATATACAGATGTATCAGTATATGCACAATTTTGTGACTCTGTATGCGTGCGGAAATAACCCCACCTTTGCATTTGTGCGCCGTTCTTTCAAGTGTGCTGCATGTTTGGGTCTGTTTTAGATCTATGTGTTGACAAATGCATTACATTTTGCAGCACTGGATTGAAAATAACACAATTTGTTGGCTAGAAATTCAAATCGTCATCTATCTATCTATCTATCTATCTATCTATCTATCTATCTATCTATCTATCTATCTATCTATCTATCTATCTATCTATCTGTGTTTCTGTTCATGTGACTGGAAATTACCAAAATTATGTAACATTTCATCACTCACGTTTCCTAAGAGGAGAACACACAAGTTTTATGTCAAACTAGAATCTAGCAATTACTTCAAATCCTGCAGCTTCTCCAAAACCACAGCTCCATTGTGTTTCTCACATGACCTGCCAAGCTCCTTCAAATGAAATTACGTTGACTACCCAAATATTTACAGTTTTAAAACGCGCCTTAGATAGCTGTTGATGGATCCGATATCCACGACAAGCCAAATAACGCTTTCTGTTGAGTGGAGCCAACTGGTTTGTTTTTACGCCTCCGCCATGCGTACGCGCCGCAATTCTTTTGTCAAACAAGACTGAATGGGAATACTGTAAGAGAAAAGTGAGTTCTTTCAAACACATGTGCCTCGGTGTTATGTTCTCACAGTTGCTGGGAGGGAAGGAAGTGCTCACTTATACAGCTATCTCGCCATCAACAGTAAAATGGCTACAGACAGCAGCATTAGCTTTCATGTTGGGAGAGTGGCCACATATACTCCTGAGGTGCACAAGGTGATTGCAGCTCTGTTTTAAGCTCACAGTCTGTGTGAGAGAGGAGTTCTGCTGTGTCATCACACCGGGGCCATGTATGATCATAATTTCACCCTGTGTACTGGGCCCGTGGCTGTCTTATGTAACAGCTCTGTAGAAGGGTTTTCTTTTTTTGCTGCTTCACGGATTGGAAGATCCAGACAAGATTGGCGTTACAGACTAATCGAATATACAACAAAGGCTCACCATGTAGTCCGCTGGCATCTCTGCAGGCTCTGAAGGATTGACACACGGGGGCAGAGGAAAGACGGAGACAGACACAATTTGGGTCGCCCCAGCTGTAATAACTGCAGCGATAGCATAGATCCAGAGAAGCATCTGCAGTGTGTTGCCCCATCCCCAGCCTCGCCATATTTCAAAGACCATCGGAACGCCTGAGAAAACATTTAGGCGAGACCACACAGGCCACTCGCTTGCCCACGGATGGTTGCAAATCCATGTTCTACTTCCCTCAAGCGGCTCGCTCCGAGCTACCACCGGTCTCTGCTTCTACTACAGCATCTGAGGAGACTGGGAGAAACATGCTCACACAGTTTACAATAACTGAAGGGAGGGTGGGTTATTAGCTGATCTGCTCTTTTACTGTCCTAGTTACAGATGTTTCAAACAAAAGAAGAAGCGCTACGGGGAAAAGAAAGAAAGGGAAGAGAAGAGAATGTAATAAATGAGAGAGGCGAAGGAGATTAAAACAAAAGAATGACTTGAAGGCAGACCCACTGTGTGCAATGTGCATCATTTTTACAACCCTTTCACATTTAATGGACTTGCATCAAATATATGTATACGACAGTTTATTGCAAGTGTGTGTTTGCATTTGTGTTTGTGTGTGGACAGACGGAAGTATTTAGGCCATTCACAGAGTTCAGAGCTGGGCATGATCATCACATTTAACTCTGTAAGATTCAACTTATTAAAGTTACTTAATTAAAGCCAAAAGGAGTTTGCAAGAGACAAAAAATAATAAAAATGCTACAAAATCCAACTAAATCAAAGATAATGGAGCAAAATTGTTAGGATGCAGACTATGGGATGATGGAGATTATGCAAAAGAATTTTTAGATTTTCGGAGTGTGCTTCAGTGCTTTACTGAGTATAAATGTGTGTCTGATTACTTATAATAATATTACCTAAGTTGTTTAATTGTTACCATGTTGCAGACAACACAGGAATCATTGTAGTTCCACTTCTATCTGATATACATATCACTCTGGATAATTATCTGCAGGTTACTTGGCTGGAGTTTTGCTGTATCCCTTTTTTTTTCCCCCAAGGGAGAGGAGGGAGTTTTTCATAAATAAAGTGGCAAAGGGGAGCCAGTATGGAGCTAAGCATGGTGATGGGCTGAGGGGAGGAGGAGTGGTCTCAACCATGCTAGGCTACAATAAAAGGCACTTGTCTGGACCTCTGAGGAGCCCAAACTTTCCAGTAGCACCACAGGCGGCTGCTGCACAAAGACAAACGGAAAGAGGGACAGCTCGATGAATAAAAATTAAAAAGGGAAGAAAAACAAAAAGAGCTAAAATTCAGCTTTCTTTAAATATTTACAGTTTGGATAACTTAGTGCATTTTTATTAAGTTTTATATTTATATTTTTTATTGAAATCTTCCCTTTGTGTAAAAAAAAAAAGAAAGAAAGAAAAAAAGAGAAAATGATGAGTCTGCTGTGCATCACAATAATCTCCCTGACCCTGGCTGGCAGCGCGTACAGTCAAGTGACAAGCCCTCCCTCACTACCAACAGGTAAGATTAAATATGATGTTGAATTGATTTTTTAATATGTGGCTGATTGTGAGAGTTTGTGTGTGTGTGCTATTTTTTTATTTTTTTTTTACTATGATTGCACGACTGTAATGTACAAGATGTGCCTGGAGAATAAGGACAGGAGGATGAGCTGTGTGAGGGACCTGAGTAAAGTGGTACCACAGCACAGGCTTGTGTAACAACAGGGTCATTGTAGCAGTAGGTAACAGAGTCGTCTCTGGGGTAACACACACACACACAGACACAGTGTGACTCACCATTGACTCATTGACTTGCTGCATACAGACCCCCACAGCATGGGCTGACTGGTGAATAAATTACCCTGTCATTCACAGGGGCTTACTGCCCGTGCTACTGAATGACAAAAACACTACTAATACCAAATCTAACAGCACCAGTTGTACTCTTAAAATGGGTCACAAATGCCACAGTGGCTGAAACTGCTTGAGTAATTCTTGTCATCTATTGGGTGTAAATCCAGGAATTTGTGTAATTTAGACCTTTTGTCATGTTTTGTTTTGTTCTGTAATTTTACTTTCTGCCACTTGTAGTTGCAGACAGAAAATGAAAACCTAGAAAAAGGCATCTTATCAGCGAGCACCTGCACCACTCCTCCAAGAGGCTGTTATAATTTCAAATTCACACCTGCCGGCAGGATGACACTATGTGATGGTTGCTGCAACTGCGAGCTATAAAATACTAGAACAGAGCTGCTGCTGTGCTGAAAGAAGAAAAAAAAAAAAAAAGAAAGACTAGCCAGAAGCCCTCATGTTATATGTATTGAGTGATATTTAATGTGCTTTCAGCAGCCTCGCGAGCTGACTCAGTAGATGTCAAATTAGGGATGTCTCAGCTCCCTCTCCTTCCAAGAGCAGAGGAAATAGCTCATCTGTGGGGAGCAGAATTTCACTCTGGGAGGATATTATGCCTTTTGATCCAAACACTGAAATTTCTCTCACAGACCAGTGATGTCACAGGTGTGTGTGTGTGTTGGTGTGTTGATGTGCATTTACACTGCTTGAATGTTTATAAATGACCTCATTGTCTGCATCATGTGAAAGCGTTTGCTCAGCTCCGGCGAGGTCAATCATTGTTCCATACAGTGTGTTTTATTAGCCATCTGAGAGGTGTATTCTGTGTCTGTTCATGGGGCGTTGCCTGTCCTTATACCTACTGACTCACTCTGGCACTGGGAGCTTTTTGGAAATCGGCCACGGTAACAGGCAGCCTGACAAGAGCGAAGTTAAGATTAATGACCCGCAGCCAAATGTATAGAGCCCCATGCTGAACAGCAGCCAAATGACTCTGTCTTTCCCTGTGAGGTAATAGTCTGTTAAGTCTAATGCTTACTGTGGTTGTTGGTTACTGAGGCTTGGCCCAGTTGCTAGGGCTGGGTGGGAAAAGGGGCTTGGCTGAAAATGGGCTGAGGCCGGGGTCTGAGTTGAAAAACGTGCTCGGGCTCGGAGATGAGACGTCGGTGGAGCCGTTCTTTTTAGCGCCGTTGCATCCGTGCTAATTTGCTCGAGTGAAATATGCACTCTGATGACAGGTACATGTGTGTCGATGCGCAACCCCTCGTGAGCGTGCAAACACTCGCGCTTTGTGTTGTGCTGGTTCTGCATGAAGGAACGCAGGAAAGAGTTTATTGGAAATAGTGCGCGGGAGTTGGCCGGCTGTGTTTGTCCCAGCTGTGCTCGTTAATTCTTTCTCCATATTGACACAAGCAGGCCAGCGACAGAAGAGAGCGAAGCTGTGGGATGTTGTAAAGCATCTCATGCCTTGCTGCTCTGTCAGAGGGTGTGGCGCCTTGTGCACAGACTGATATAAACATGCACACTTGCGCTGTGCAGATTTCCATCCCTTTCACATGCGCAAGGGATTGGAGCCAGTTTTGGTCATTCAGTAACTTAAAGCTCAAATGCTCGTGGGGTTTAACGACATAATTAGACTCTTGTAGTTTGTGATACAGGACACTGAGTAGACTTGGATGGCTGTAATGTTGTTGTTAATTTACAGTTCGGTGTTGCAAAGAAGCAGATGGTTTCAATCATTCGCTAATGCAACCTTTTACTGAGTGAGAGAGAATTGTGCTTGGTAATAAAATGGCAGTAGGTCTTGGCTGCAGCTGTGGAGCTTTTTTATTGTCAGACACATGTGTTCATTTACTTCTTTGCTGTGTTTTTATTTCCAACTGCACTTTTTTGCTAAAAAAAATTAAGATAGAAAACGCTCTGTATTATTTAATCAACCATTTATTTTATCTTAAATGCAACTATGGGGCGTCACCTTTGACCCCAGAGAGTCCGGTGTGATTTGAATTTCGTCAACGACAAGAAAGGCTTCCTTCTCTTCCCAAAAGGCTGAAGACACAAAACAGGCTGTTGCTTTATGAGGGCAGTGCGCCCCTCATGGTCGGGGCCACATTCTCCTGTGGGACGTGTCTGCTGGTAACTGCAGAATCAGGAAGCAGGGTGGAATTACTCTCAACATGCCTGAGTCTCTGTCTGCTACTACTGTCTCTCAGGCATTATTATCTTCAAGGTCGCTCCAGAATGTATCCGCCGAGGAGCCAGGGTTCTTTATTCTGCTTTCATTTGGTGTTCTATAAGGTATTAAGTTAGTATATATATACAGTGATCCATTCCAAGCTCTTTCCTTAGCATATGCACCATGGCATTTATCCAATCCTCTTCTTCCATCTCACATTTCAGGATTACAAACCGCATTCAGTGGCTGGTTTTCATCAACAATGTTTCCACAAGACAGTATAATGAACTAATTTATTCAATCTACTCTTATTTCCTGAGTGAAATTTAGAAATTTGGAAAATTTTAGCCATGAATATCGGGTGGCATGACATCTGGCCGCTTAGTGTTGACGTCACCTTTGCGCTCACCTTCGCCAGAGCTTTTGATGGCCGGCTCAGTCGCTCTGGATCTCCCAGGTTTCAATCACACTTCATGCGAGCGCTACCCATGCAGAGAATTTATGAGGCACAGAGAAGCTGTGAGTCATTTCTCACTGACAAAACATTCAAAGTGGAATCTTGTCCAGACTGCTTTTAAAAACTCCGCACTGCTCTTGAAGACATGAGTAATTAGCAGCGGCAGGAGGGTGTTTCCAAGCTCATAAAATACCTGGCATCTTGCTGACCACTCAAGAGGCAAGTGAGGCTACTGGGTGTGGTGGTTCGGTAATAGAAGCAGTCACTTGCATGCGCAGCCTTATAAAAGAAATGAGAAAATAGAGTATAAAGTGGCATACGGTGGGACTGAAGGGTAGATTAGGTCTGTCAGCAGTGCGTCTGCTAATTAAATCCTTGTGCAGGAGTGCTCAATACTAATGATCTGAGTACCACTGAACGAAGTCCAGACACGTGTCTACTGTGAGGTTACATCGGAGGATTAGAACGTTTCAGGCATGGGTTTGATTAGAAGTCGATTTAGTGTCACTCCTCCGTGTATGTGTGTGTGTGTGTTGGTGTGGAGGGACGATCATGGGTTGATCAGAGCAGAAGGCAGCGAGCCAGTAGCCCCTTTTATTTCCTGTATTATCCCTGTGGGAAACGTTTCCCCCTGTTGAAGAGCCAGTGACACAGTATTCCAGTCATGGCTCTGGTGTGGCTGCTCAGAGTGAGGCGCCTCAACATGAATGCTGGCATCCTCAGTCAGAAATGAGAGACTCACTGGTTTTAGACACAGATCATCCATACTGATTAAGGGGGTAGAGAATAACACAGAGCGGCTCCGGGGTTTTCAGTGAACACTTAAAACACTGAACCTGGATTCAGCCAAAAAAATTGCATAATTATGTCTGAGACTGCTATAGCTGAAACGCCAGTTGATTTTTGTCTGTTAAGTAAGAACCATATTATGTGACAAGTCTCGTGCATTTCCTCTTACCTCATCCTGCTTCCATTTACAAGAACCCCGGTAGCCAGTATGAGGTCTGGACCTCGGTAATTATTTCCCGTCCGGGCTGACGTTTTGAATTAAACGACATTTTGAACGAAAGAGTTGTTGACATCGTCCCCCCGTGATGTAACTGTAGGGCTCATGTTAGAGCACAGCCTCACCCGACAAATCTGAGGGAATTCTCTGCAGACAGTGTGGTCGTATCAATCAGCCAAATAAGACTCAGTGTTTCAGCCAGTAACTACTTATTCCTCTGTGATAAGTGACCAGTTTTTCTGTCGCAACGGGTGGATAAGAGAAGCGACAGCCTACCAGCAGTGAGTAACATTTTAGTGTCTACTAACCAAAATATGGTCGCCCTCAGAAAACAAATAGTTTTGTATTGTGGTCCAACAAAGTCAATAAATCAACTAACGTACGGATTAGCTAGCTATGATTGGCTAGCTAACATCTGCCACCTTGGATTAGTGACTTCTTTTCAATCGTTAATGTCTCGAAAAATCTTTTGAGAACGAACTAGTCTACTGAATTTACAGGAAACAACTTTAAGAACTTTCCGTAAATCACTATGCAAACAATTAGGACAAATATATGATCATTATTATTTTGATTGCATTATACCTCTTATTTGCTGTTGGCTGCCTTAGCAGTAGTTCACAACTTTTATTGCCAGTAGCTGCAGTTTACAACTTGCATGTACTTTTTCTTTTGACCTGCTTGGTATAAATTCACAACTTTAATTGCGAATATTTGCAGTTTATGTTTTCTACATGCATGTACCAAATATTACAAGTATCTTTATTGCCACACCACTTTGAGGTGAGCCACCTTATTTATATTTATTATTATTTTTGGTGCAGATCAACTCCTATCAGTCAAATCCTAATTATTTCTGGTCCTTTCCTTATGTTTTTATTTTTATCCTCCATTTTATTGAAAAGCGTAGGAACTTAACCATTACAGGATTTAAATAGGCTTTTATTTGACAGAGAATAATGATAATGATGATGACTATTTTGTAGTTGCTTCCCTTTATGAAGTTTATTTTAGAAAATAGTTTGATAAGCGTTTTTGTTTTTCTTCAGAATAGTTCCAACTATTTGTCCTTAAAGTCGATCCTCTGTTCCCTGGTTACTTGCTATTCACATGCGTTTAAAAGGAAATTGTACATCTGAAAGTCCATTTTTCTCCGGGAAGCAATTGAAAAAAGTGTAAAAGTACAGCTATATAAACAACATGCACCATGCGTGTTGCTGGACCTTATTTAAAAAGTTGTTCTTGCGACAGCTTGGTTACGAGTTAGATTGTTTAAGGCGTAACCTGTATATGTTTGTGTGTGGGGGGGTGAAGTAGAACATGTGAAGGTGGAAGTGGGTGATGACTGTGGAGTGGGGTCAGAGGTCTTGTACATCCATTCACATGGTGCTTATTATTGTCTGGCAAAGGCCACCTCTTGCTGGCCGGGGTCTCCTTAACTAAGCAAGTCCTGTGAGGTCTAAACATGGAGGTCAGGGAGATGATGGGAACCCACGGGGAGACACAGATGACCTGCCATTCTGAATAAGGGTGGCCTCGCTTGGACAGGGAAGATAGAAAGGGAGTGCACGGAACAAAAAAAAAAAAAAAAAGCCAAAGACAAGAATGATGATGACAGCAGGATTCTGTATTTTGTTAAGAATATTATCTCCTCACTTTTCCTGTTATTCCTTCGGTGCCTGACATACTTAAGTGGAATAAGATGGAGCGGATGAAAGATAAGCACTTCATTTTGAGGGTTAATGCTGAGGAACCAAAGGCTTTTAAGTGCCAGGCCTGACAACAGCAGGAAGGAGACTGAAGAGGACGATTGGCTCCAGGGGCTGAGGACTGGCCGGTGCCCAGTACGATATTTAATAAAGCAAACAGGATACCTCTCGACTCGTTTTGTGTGAGAGAATGCTTTGGACTGTAACTGCATGTATGTACGCGCAGATTACAACAATACATATGGCATACACATGCCCAAACATATGATGTAACTACTGTGTACAAAGAAACCAACACCCAATAAAGCAGGAAAAGAAATATTGTTTGGATATTTTTCCTTTTTTGGTGTTTTCTCAGGCAGACTTCATCAGTTTCATGCCAAGCACTATGAAGAAAACCAAAAATTCATCAGTGTGTGAAAATAGTTTCATAAACACCACATGATGGTTTCAAAGTCCAAGAATCATAAACCTAATCACCATTAAGCCACAGCGAAGTTATATCATATTTTCTTCTTTCCTAGTCAAGGTTTCTGCTGACCTTGGTGGCAACGTCACCCTGCCCTGCAGGCTCTTGCACACAGACGACACATCCTTTGGCAGCATCGGTATCCGGGTGAGGTGGACCAAGGTGGCCGATGATGAATCACAGAATGAGGATGTGCTGGTTTCAATGGGATTCCACAAGAAAACCTACGGAAGCTTCGAGGACCGCGTCTACCTGCAGGAGTTTGACAACGACGACGCCTCCTTAATAATAACTGACGTCTCCATGGACGACGTGGGAAAATACCACTGTGAGATCGTCAACGGGGTGGAAGACACCGTGCAAGAGGTCGTCTTGGAGGTGCAAGGTGGTGCCATGAACGGTAAATCCTGTTTTTATATTTGCACTTTTAACCTTAATTTCAGAAATAGGCCTTAAAGTGTAAGTTAATACACCAGCTGTTACAACATTAGTGTGTAATCAGCTTCCATTATTTTGTTGTTTTGCTGTTAAAAGGGCACAATTACGGATCAACCAATGTTTTTGTTTCCAGTTATTGAACAACGTCCACGTTTTCTTGTCTTGTGGTACGAGGGAGGAAAAAGAACAGACAGCTTGTGCTGATTTATCCCAACTGCTATAATGATTCAGTCATGATTACATTTGAATACTGTTCAGCACCAGTAAACAGAAACATATTTTCCATCTTTTCCAGTCCATATCCTCAAACATCTGACTTGCATTTGATTTTATAATCACTATATTGTCTTCCTTTGAAAATGTGGCACACCAAGAGGAAGTGATTTTCATGCAAACAAGGTTTCTTTTACATGCTTATACAAAAATAGATTTCTGAAATCTTGCAGGGTAAGTCATTAAATCAGTATTCAAAACACTTTAGGACCAATAGTCAGTGTCTGATAATGTATTGAGGTAAACCTTAGGGAAGAAACTATGACGAACAACTGAATATTTCTGCAACTATGTCAGCAGCATCCTATATGTATATCTCGTGAATTAGGTTGTACTAAAGTGTAAATTCACATTTGAATCATTGTTTTACTACCTCTTGTTAGATACATGCAGTTAAATAATTTTATAGCACTCTGAAGTTTAATGCTGCAGAACGTAGCACCTAGTTTCCATAAGATCACTCTTTTTTTCTGTGCAGAGCGGCCAACAAACATAAAATTAATGAGTTAGCGCCGTGTGGCCTCTGGAGACCACTGCCAACATGTTGCAAGCAGCGCGGTACCTGAAAGACTAATAGGCCCATATTCACACACAACACTAAACATGCTGTATACCAGCTATACCGGCTTTCCTGGAGAAGCTGCAGTAGTATTCCAAGACCACACACACATTCTGTACATGCCTACAGGCCTGCACTGCTGTAAATCAGCATCATAACTGATACAAACAAACTAGTATTAAGATCTCCGGTTTGCACTGAGGAAAATGACTCCACAACGAGATAGCTGATTGTGTTGCGTATGGACATGCTATTAGATTTCTTAGAAGACATACAGTACCATTGAAAAGTATATGATCCATTTGAATTACAGATTTTCTGCATTAATAGATAAAAAAATATGAACCGATCTTCATCTAAGACCCAAGTGATTTCAGTAATTTCTGTCTGTGCTGAACACACCCATTAAAAATTCCAAATGCACTAACTCAGACAACCCTCGGATTTAATAACTTGTCAGACCACTTTTGGCTACACAGCAGACCTGCACAACTTTCAGCTGGAATTTAGAACCGTCCTTCCCTGTTCAGAACTTGTTCGTTTCAGCCATATGCTTAGGATGCGTGGTGTGAACAGATCTCTGGGGGTCATTCCACAGTGTATCTACTGGATTAAGGTCGGAGCTCTGACAGGGCCGCTACAAAAAGGAGATTTTCTTTCATTCTCGAGTAGATTTACTTCAATGTTTAAGGTCATTGTCCTGCTGCATTGCTCAACTTCTGCTGAGCTGCGAAGGTAACTTGGTGCACTTTGATGAACTGTCAAGACCCAGAAGCAGCAAATCAGCTACAAATCCTCTGTGTCTCCATTGTGTCCTGCCATGGACGCCATGTTCCACGCAACTATGCACCATGGACACATCATCGTGAACCAAGATGTTAACCAGTTCATATGATTCTTTTAAGCCTTTAGATGTGACTCTGGGCTTCATTCTGCATTGTACCTTTGGAACTTTCTTACCCAGGAGCCCATTGCAAGACAGAGTAGACAGTTTGTCTAATTGTGACCTGTTCTCTGAGACCCTCTTCAGTGCAAAGCAAACTCAAGATGTTTTTCGTCAGTCTCAGAAACTCTAACTTACAACTCCAATCTTTTTTCTTTGATTGGACTCCAGGAGTGCGAACTAATTGATTCCAATTAGCTTTTGCTGATGTTATTAGCTGAGGAGTTGACATAAATGTATGAACCTACACTGCGAATAATGGC